GCTAGGCTTTGGTGCTTGGAGAACATTTTGAGGAAGCAATAAGGTAAAAGTTATTCTGCACAGAGGGAGCTTTGCCAGAAAATGCAAAGATGAAGAGCTAATTTGTGTCTCATTCATCTATTTCTTCAATGATTCATTTACTAATACTCAACAAACAGCTCCTGAATGGATACCACTTCAATGCTAATTTTTTGTAATGGTATTACATATATTCCAAAAAAGTCATTTCCTCAACTTCAATGTCAATAGGTTTTTGGACATAAGCACATCAGTTTTCAATGCAGGTGTATGTTTAAAACAAAAAAACCCATGCACATTTGTTAAAATGTGCCACCAGCTGACAGATGTCTTTGGGCTATATGAAGTAGTGCTCCCTCATTAAATATCAAGGGACATTCAAAATAATTAGGCAATTAAAATTAAGACAAAAACAGCTTGTCTAGAAATTTCTCATGACATTGATAAGATGCAAGAGAAACCTAACAGGTCTTAACATGACTGTGTTTTGTGTAAACCAAGACATGTTATCAACAGCCTATAGATGTTCTAAAGTTTTGAATGACAATTTTTTATGTAGTAATTATGATCTCCTGACTATTTAAAAAATGTGCTACCTTGAATTTTACTCATGAAAATAAACCTTGTTCCTCCCCGTCTATATGACACGTAGAGTTGGGAGTAAGAAAGGAAATAATTCCGAGAACGACTTGCTTGAGCTGAGCAGCGCATCTTCTGCTCTGCTCAGAACTGATGAAGTTTTCCTGAACAGAGTATTGTTTCAAATTCTAGCCTCCTAAAGGGGTTGTTTACGTCCTGTGTTACAACATTTGAAAAATTAAAGAAATAAATAGCTGTAAGAATCCGATGAATTTCTGGATTTTGTTCAGATACTACATATTTTGTTTTAGAAACCGTGAGAATCAAGTCAAAGGAGTCTGGGCTTCAGAATCAAGTAGACATGGGTTCAAATCCTGACTCGACCACCAAACAGCTTTGTGGTTTTTGTTTTTGTTTTTGTTTTAGTCATTTAGTCTTTTCAGCTCCTTTAAAAGATGGTAATAATACTTCAGTGTTAAGGTAGCTGTGAAGATAAACAGGAGAAAAAAAATATTTTAAGTTCTTAGCCTGGTTCCTGGCAGACACCAAGTACCCATAAATATTAACCCCACCCCCATTTTCCTCCTTTTCTTTTTTCATAATAGTTCCAGTTTCCCTGTCTTAAGGAAATCTTACCCTTGATAATATTTGTCAAGGAAATTACTTATGGTAAATTTTTCAACACATTTCAAAAATGTAACAGCAAACTACAGGCAGGCAGAGTATAATGAATGTATATCTGATTCATTACACTTCACTTGCCAGTTCTCAAAAAGAATGCAGTGTGCTAGATAAAGCTATCAAGGCGTATTTTTAAATTAATGTTTTAATTAACATTTCTAATTTTTATGTGTAAAACTGTGCCCGCGTGTCATCTGTTGCTTCTCACAGAGTTGTTACTCTAGGACACTGCTGTATTTCAAAGGAAACATTTCTTAAAGGATCAACAAAATATATACTCATGTTAATGGGGAGCATCCACAGTCTAGTTACAAGAGAAGATCAAGTACTGAAACTATTCTCTCTGTTTCATTTCCTATTTAAGTGAAACTGAACTTTCAGAAGAATTGTTGAGATTTAAAAAAAAAACCTTAAGTATATCATCTCATTTATTGAATAGTTCATGGAACTGTGTAGTTTTAAATGGGTATATTTTCAGTGCATGTGTCTTTAATTTTGTTTCCCAAATGAATGGCTTCTTTTCCTACGTGTATTTTTTTCATCATAGCATTATTTTGGTAGTACTCATGTTCTCAGAGATCAGGTCTCTATTTGTGCTGATTAAAAAGATATAGCTGTGGTCTGACATCCCTGATGAAAATATTCTCAAATCTCTTAATATAGTGAGGTCTTGACGCATCTGGGAAGATTAGAACTAGAAGACATAAGAGGGAGGATGTTCGAAAGCAATTTTTCATCACAGCTAGCTAGCAAATGTCCAATTTAAGTTGGGTTGAATTAACCAGATTTAATGTCTATTTGGTGTGAGTGTGTTTGGGGGGAGGGGAGTGATAAAGCACAACTTAAGCTAAAAGACAAGGTTTTTATTTTGAGTTGTCCCTCAACATCATTTTCAATAAGAATCAAAATGCTTGTTGTGGGTTTTCCATAGATGTTAAGGAGGTAACACTGGTTTCAGTTTAACCCAGACAACACAGAAGTAAAGACGCACACTAGACTCTGATCTCATAAAATGCTCAACAAATATGATTTTGAAAAAAGGAAATTTAATACTTTATTATATTGCCTTCACCTAGCTTGTTTTTAAAAATAAAACAATTCTGTTTTCATAAGAAAATATTCAGTCCAGAGTTTTATTCTCCTAGCTAATTTTAATGTTCAGCATTTCTTCTACATCTTTATTTCCAAAATCCTTTCTCTCTTTGAGCACTGATACTCACATATTAACTACTGAACAAATGTGTGCATATCTTTATTTTTGTTGCAATATATGAATGAATTAGAAAAGGTAGATTATTTTAGCTTTCAGTTGCTAGATACAATATGGATAACCTGAATTGCCATAAGTTATCCTGGCAATTAAACCTGCAGTCATAAAATTCTGACACTATTTTCAACAATAAATTTGTGAAAGTATTTTTAATTCAGTAGGGTTAATCAGCACATCCTAAAGGTTATTATTATACTTCAATAGAAATGTATCATGTTTATAACAGAATTTAAGTTTAAAAGTAAAATGTGTGATCTGAATAAGATTCAAAGTTCTTCCAAATCAGAAGGAACAAAAGCAATGTTTCTGGCAATTTTCCTACTTATGTAAAGTATACATTAATAAAGGTTATCTTATGTGGAAAGTTATTTGAGCTCTTATATTTTAATAACCAGAGTGGCTATAAAATTCACATAGAACTTTCATTTTCTCATGGTTTTCTCATTGCATTTTGAGCTTGACTTTCCAGGAATAACTGCCACAGAAAAATAAATCATGTAAAAATTACAAAATTTTAAAGTTTATAGATAATGGACATCAATTCCACCATTTGTATCTTTGAGAATGACCATTAAGCAAGTAAATGGAGACTCATGTTATTTTTCAAGATCAGAGATTTTCAGAGTATTAATATTTAACAGATTTTTCTAAAGAGACACGTTTCTTATACCTGTTGAGCTTAGATCTTTTATGCTTTGATAAAAGCCCATGTTTCTTTAAGTTCTTACTTAAGTGGAAGAATGTTTCTAAATTTGCAATGACAAATCTCCCTACGCCTTAAACAGTTTTTCTTTCTACCTCACTATATACTTATTCCCTCAGTGAATATTAAACACTACTTATGTATCAATTTCATTAACCTGTGGGTATTTCTCTTTGTAACTTTCTTGGCATAAATCTATTGGCTCTTCACTCTACAACAGCAAGCTTAGCAGAGCAGCTGAGCTCTGTGAAGGCTCTCCAGCTCTGTGGTCTCTTATTCACAAATGATACAAGTGCTTTCTTTTTTTCTACCTGTGCTGACTCTCCATTAATTCAAGACATTTGCATGAAATGCTTTGACAAAGCCAATTTAACCTCTACTATATGTTGCTTTGCATTAATGACATTAATTCATAAATAGTTTTTAAAGAGCTTCTTTAACAATATCTACTGAATTTAGATACTAACATTCGAATTATTAGGTATCCCTGTATCTTATTAATTTTTTGCCTTCAATACATAAAGGAGGGGTGTTTCTTGTCTACTGTCCAGGTGAATAGAAGTAGGCATTACAAATGCAAGTTTAAACAGCCAACCAGAACACAGTGAGGACGATTTCGGTGTTTTCACATATCCACCCACTCTTACTCTCGCTAATTCAGTTTTTCTTAATAAAAAAAAAAAAACTCGTTACCCTATTTTCTTAAAGAATTTGTAATATATTTTGTGCAGTAATTACTATGATAGAAATCCAGAAATTATATGAGACCTGATTTTTTTTTTAAGTTTTACAAGTCTGTTCTAAATTTCCTTTTAATAAAACAAGTAAACCTTGTTTCTGCCTCCTTGCACTCCTTTGGCTTGGTGCTTACTTGCTAAGCAACCTGCTGCATTTTATAGCTGTGGATCTTAATTGGAAAGGGCCCCCCTAAGACACCATGTGAACAGGGATACGCCAGAGTGGATACAGCATGGTGACCCAGACGAGACACGGAGGTCCCTTTCCGCAGTTTGTCCCACCCTCCTTCCCCTTCGGGTATTCTCTGGTTATCTCATCACAAAAGACAGCTGAGTTCACAGCTGGAACAACAAGTTGTGCTGCGAACGCCAGTGATTCAGCCAAGCCGCCAAGAGGGTCACTGGCTTAATGGGAATTTCAGTTGCCAAGCGAACTAGGAACCCCTAGCCTGGGTCCAGCCACACACGGATAAAAGTGTTGCTGCCTTTTGATAGAGGATGGAAATGACGCAGAGGGTAATTGGGCGACAGAATACTGATCCCACTGCTTTCTCCATTACCCCAGTTTAGGTACCAGAGTCTAGGGCTCACTTACATACACCCAGGGGCCACCAAGATCTCCATCTTCCCTAAATGCATAACAGGCTGAAAGCAGCCTTCCTCCCAGCTCCGCGGCGCGGCTGCTGCTGCTTTGTTTACCATGTAAGTCACACCGGGGGTTCACTCTTGCCCTCTCCCCTGCTTTAAAGTGGGGTACGGCCAGAGGCTGAGAAGCAGCCCCAAACTCCCGCGGAGCCCGGTCAACCAGAGAAACCTTCGCAGACCCGGTCCCGAGCCTTAAAGAGAAGCCGCGCAGCCGGAGCCTCTGAACTCGGAACCCCCCGGGGACGTCCGCCTCACGAGAGCGAGCCGGCTTCCCAGGCGGCTTGAGAAACTTAACGGAGATCCCAGGGCGGAGGCGAGGTGTATGCAGCTCCTGTCACACGGAGCTCCGAGGCGACACCCTCTTTACCTGCAAAGTTGCAACCTTCCGGCTGAAGAGGGAGCGATTCCAGGCCGGCGGCGCGGGTGCTATGCCCGGGGAGCGCACGCCCGGCAAATTCCAACGGGATTTCCTTGGTCTCCGCCGAGTTTTGGAGCATTCCAAGGAAAACGCACGAAGCCGGAGCCCACGCAGCTGGCACCGAGCTGGGCGGAGTGAGGATGCTCTGAGAGAGATGCCACGGGAGGCGGGGGAGGGGAGGCCCCGAAGGGGAGGTGAGCGCCGGGGGAGGAGAACCTCGCCCACCCCCTCCCTTGCGGATCCCTCCGGATAAAGTTAGCGTTCCCACGGCTGCCAACGGATGAACCCAGAGGGAGACACTCCGCCCTCCGTCTCCCACGGCTGCCGGACTCCGGGGCCGCACAGACCGGGTCCGCGAAGGGCAGCTCATGAGGATGCGCGTCCCACGCACCGCTCCGCGCCGCGGTGAGGGACCCGCGCGCGGGCAGGACCTCGAATCGGCTGCCCAGGGAGAGCCTCCGCCTCCCTGGGCCAAAGGTTTGCGGTCAGCCAGTTGGGCAGGAGAGCTCACCTCAAGCCAGCGGTCACGCAGCCACGTCCGCGGAGGGAACCCACCCTGCGAGCCTGGGTGACAGCCAGACACACCTCCAGGCTTCGGGCGGGCTCTGCCGGCGGTCCGACCTCAGTTCGCGTCCGGAGCCAGCTTCGGCACACCCGGCTCCCACCCCAGTAAGCAAGCACCCGGGCGGCAGGTCGCCCGACTTGAGAAAGTAACCCCCACCCTCACCCCGTAACTCTCAAAGCCTCTCCCACTCCGCTGCTCTGGGGTCCCGGCACCCCCTCTCGCGTCCTCAAGGTGTCAGACTTCCCCTGCAAGAGCAGGCGTTTGCGGCTCGCGGCTAGTGTCAACAATGGAGACAGTCGCAATGAATAAATGATGAGGAAGCGTCCCACCCACCCGCCCCCAGCTCGCTCCTTCCAACAGGCCCAGGAAAATCAGTAAGTTTCCAAATATTAAGTAAAACCCCAAACGCGCACCAGCCTAGGAGCGCGAGGTTCTGTGGCTTCAGGTGGGATGTGTTGAGTGTGTGTGTGTGTGTGTGTGTGTGTGTGTGTGTGTGGTGAGTGATGCACCCAACAGCGTAGCGAGATTGCAGGATAAAAGTTCTCTCTTGACAGTCACTTGGATGTTCCTACCTGAAGATAATATTAACGTGCGTATAGAGGAAAAGATCTGTATAAGCAAAGTTGGCAATAACTTACTCGCTTGTCACTGCGACGCGGTGATTCCCAGCTTGTCACCCGCGGAGGCTTGGTTGGTCTCGACCTTAAGGACTGGAGAGTCTATTTGTAAAATAGAGTGGCGTCCATGCGGAATCTTACCTAGCGGTTACTTGGCTTGCGACCCTCGGGTTCTCCTTGATTTCTTTTATTTTCCGAAAACCCTGGGGTGATTGCTGGTCGCTGGTCCCATCTCGGCAGATGCCTGCTCCAGCTTCGCGCTAGTGCAACAGATGAGTGACAGCCCTTCCTCCCGGTCCCAGCCACGCGTCGTTACACCTTCTGGGAGTCAGTGCTCTGCCGACTGCCGGGAGGATCAGTTTCTCCCCAAGAACTAGCCCGCAGGGGAGTTAAGGGTAGGCGGCAAGCCGGACCCACGCGCAGACTCCAAAGCGCCGAATTAAAGAATTTCCTTCTTGGCTGTCTTTTATTTTTCCCTCCTTAGTTCACAAGAGTTGAGGGTTTTTTGTTTGTTTGTTTGTTTGTTTAACCACTTTCCTTGTTTCTAAATTTCTCTTTCTCTCTAGCTTATTGCTCTTCTCATGAGTTTATCCCAAGCCCAGACTTGACCCCTGCTGACCCCTGTTCTAAATTTATCTAAGTGCTTCCTCTAGGTCATCTCCTCCCAGGTACTGAGGCAAACTTGCTTCCTATAAAGGCTCTCCAGAAAACAAGTAAATGTGCAAACAACAAAGGAATTCCTTTCTTTCCTCGAACATTTTTGCTTTTTAACACAAAAATACTTTAACATCTTTAAACAGTTTATAAAATGTTTTAATGTTAAACAATGACGTTTATGAAACATGCAGGAACACGCGTACCTGTAGACAAGGCAATGGACTTTATAATAAATACAAGTCCACTTTCTACCTAACAGGGGAGGGGAGGACAATGTATATAAAAATCTGTTTTATGCAATGCAACAGTAAATGTGTTTGTATTTTTTTCTGAAATAACATACTCCCATTAATCATCATTAATTTAAATGTTTTAATGCCTAAGAAACAAAAGTGAAGCCAACAGTTATTGAGGTAATGTCTTGCCTCAGCCTGATACACAAAATTCTACATATTCTGAGTGTGTGTCTTTAAAAATAAACCCCTAATAGAATTCCACATACTGAGATGACTGTACGTCTTTATCCTATGTTTAAAAATACATTCAAAGGAAAGTGGATCAGCAACACACATCCACTGATAAAGGGTGAAGAACTTTTTACTTTACAACCTTGTAAAGTACTCTGTACCAAATTATATGCCTGTTCCTGCCTCTCTTACGTTATGTTCTTTATAACAAATAGCATCTCCGTCATGACGTTGGTGAGGGGTGTTTTGTATTATTATTTCCCTAAGCTGTTATTTTTTCCATAAGAAATGTGCCTGTGAATCTGCAGTAAATACAAAACAGAAAGGAACAGTGAGGACAGCCATCAGAGTAGGCTATGTTCTATTGATCCCTGAGCGTCATTGCAACATGTTCACTTGATTATTGATTGCTAACCTCATGTGACCTCCTAAAATGATTAGCAATTACAAGAAAATTATTTGAAATCTACTTAAACAACACACTGAACTGTGTATACTACAGTCATTAGCCATAGATAAGGAGGACAGCTTGTTTTTGTTTCAATTTTAAAATATAAATCTGGCTTCATTCCACAAGCCTGCACTGCACTTAACATGCAATTCACTGAAGTCACAGAAACTTACAATATAAAGTTATATGATGATCGGGAATTACTTTTTAATACCTTAGTCAGAAAAACAAGAAAGTACTTTTCTTTTGAAATTAGCAAGAGACAAGTGAGTGACCCAAGAAATGATAGCAGTGAAACAATCCTCCCCAATGCCTGTTTATTTATAGCAAAAATGTATCATGGAACTGGAGTTAACAATTGTTTCAGGAATTCAACTTTCAACTTATTTCTGAAAATTATTCTTCCACTTAGGAGTTGATAAGTAACATATGATGTTTCTTCCAAAGACTCTGACTATGACTCTGACTTAGAGACAATCACAGGACAGGTATTTGGAAAATTTAGTTCTGCACATATGACACTCCTGGGATCTTCTGTGACAGTAATTATATATAGTGATACCACCATCATTAAATGATCATGGCCTTTGTTTATCTTAGGCAAATTTGAGAAATAAATTTGCATTGTCTTTCAAGTCCAAGGGACCTGTCTTCTACCTACGTAACCAGGACTTCCCCTGATTCTGCACAAGGTTCATTGAAGGCCCTTCACTGAAAGGCGTAGGTCTGCTCAGCTTGCCTTGTAGAGCAGACCCTTCTCCAGGTTGTTGTGTCCTCTGTTTCGCCATCAGTTGTAACTAGACTTTGATCCAATCCACATGGACCATGCTATCGACATAGCTTTTTACTTGCTTTAAAAAAAAATGTTATTTTCTAAGTTTCCAAGTTTTCTTCAAAGACATTCATTTTAATGAATTATTACACATTTGTACAAAATACTGAAGTATTTCTCAAATCTTCAAAGTGTGGGTTGTTTTTATAGTCTTATTCCCTAGAGTAAGACTTTGTTGAAAGCCTTTGTACACGCACTTTTCTCTGTACATCTGATTATGTCCTCAGAATGGATTCTTAGAAATAGAGCCACTGTATCCAAATGCGGGAATAACTTAAAGCTCATGGTATGTTAGATATGATTTATTGAGCCCTCATCAGCATGCGGCATATATAATCTGCTTTTTACTCTTTTCTTTCTGCATTTTTGGTGACTTTCTGTTTTTTTTAAATGACATCTCAATGTAATGAGTTGTGTTATTAAGAAATATGACTTTCTCTGTATTCATTACTTACAGAGGTTTTAATGCTTTTTTCCCAATTTGATTTGTAATTGGTAATCCCTTACTATATGTATAGTAGATACTGCTCATTTTTATTCACTGTTAACATTTTGGATAATATTATATTTTTAAAAAGATTTAGTTCTTCTATACTTTTAACTGTTAGACTTTTCCTGAATAATTTCTTTTAGTATTTTAATACTCCTAAAGCCTTTTCCCCTCCCATGTATACCAATTTGTTAGACATTTTTTGAAATAATTTTTTATGGAATAGCTTAGTCATTAATTTTAGGGACTCTAGACTCATGCTGCTTATGTTTGAAGTCCTAGTCTCAACATTCATTCAAAAAATATTTGTAGAGTCTCTATTAAATGTGAGGCACTGTGCTAGGTGCTTAGTATACATCTGTGAACAAAACCGAGAGGATCCTGGCTAGGATCTTATACTTTAGGGAAGACAAACAAAAAAATAATAAGTTTATTATATATCATATGACAGTGATTAAAAGAATGAAGTGTGGGGATTAGAAGTGCCTGTGGGGACAGATGGTGATGGTGGGTTGTAATTTTAGGCAGCTTATCAGGTTAGCCTTCATTAATACGGAGACATTTGGGCAAAGAGCTGAAGGTTAGGGAGCTGGCTGTGGGGGTTAAACTGGGAGCAGTGTTTCAGGTAGAGGAGTAATTTGACTGATGCACGTTTTAAAGGATTATGCTGGCTGCTTCACTGAGCATAGACTGTAAGGAAGCAGGGTTCTGGAGGCAGGGAGACCATTTAGGAGATTCTTGAAACAAATTAGAAAATAGGGTGTGGACCCACTTAGTTAGATCCACCTGAATTTTTCAACATGCTTGTGTGCAGGATGTGAGTCAGAAGAGTTGAGGATGGTTATGAGATTTTTGGCTTGAGTAACTAGATGACTCTAAGTAAATTATGATCTGAGATGGAGATGATAGAGGATGGCATTGTTTTTTTTAGAAAGAATGTGAAGAATTTGCATGTGGACATGTTAAATCTGAGATGCCTATTGGAACAGATAAGCTGTGTGACCTTGGACAGTGTTACTTAACCTCCATCCACGCTGGTTTTCTTACCCGTA